ATTCGTGCCTATAACTTCTGTAACTGTAGACAAAAGACAACTTTTTAAATTAAAATCTGAACATTTTCTGATGATGTAATGATTATAGTAATTATCTTTTATTACTTTTGCGACAATAATTATATTAGGAATATTCACTTGCGATGATTAAGTAATCTTAATTTTTAGTAAAATTTTGTTTGGTTAACTAATTTAAATGGATATAAAATATTCACATATATATATAATTTAATACATTTACAAAAATTACAAATAGTAGTAAGGGAATATAAGTGTTTTCACAGTTTATTTATCAAAATTGTAACATTTAGGACTAAAGTGTATCTTGAATAATTAATTTTGGTTGTAACTTACCTAAACAAAATGATACACTCACTGCAGTGGCGGCACCCATCGCAATAAGAAACCGAAAAGCTACAAAAACTGTAAAAGACGGTGAAAAAGCTGCACCAATCCCACTGACTCCAGTCAAAAATAATGCACCCATCAACACGGGTCTCCTACCCATCCTGGGAAGTAAGGATAACGTATAACGCACACACAGTTTATTTTTTATCTAACGTTAAGAGTGGTTCAAGTTGCAATTTTTAATTCATACAAGCATATATACTGAGATCATCTAAATATTCGCGATAATAGATAATAATGACTAACATTGCACCAATGTTTCTACTCGATCCCTTAGTGAGCACCTTTTATATATTTGCGTGGAAAGCCACGATATCATCAATATATTAACGATCATTTATTTCACATTATCCTGAAATAGTGTACTAAAATTTGGTAGCTAAAATAAAACCCGTAAAAAACTTGAAAAATATTTGACCTGGAAATCCACTGAAATGGTAATTCTGTGGTATAATTTTGTAAGGTCAGTCATTTGGAATGAAATTAAATATGAATTTTAAAATAAAATGGCATCCGAAAAGAAAACGTATTCAAATAAATATGCAAGAGCTTAACTAAACGTACTCCTTTTAGCTATATTTTTTGCTTAGTAGCTATTTTGATCTAGTATTTCAAATAAAGATCGACAAAATTAACTATTAATGATTAAACAGAAAACTTTCTGTTTTCTTTTTCATTACCTTCTAGAATTGTATAGTATACTTTACATAAAAAAGTAGTTATAGCCTGACTCACAAAGATGAGACATAGTGGAAAACCAATAGTGTTTCTTTTCAAATAATATTTCTATTTTACCTCTAAAATTTAAACATAATTGTTTTGTTGCTAAGAGAAGCAACAAAGTTTATAAAGTGCTTTATCTTCCTTATAATTAAAGTATTGTTTTTCGGATTCTTAACGAATTTATCACTGAAGTTCACGTGATTCCTTGGTTGTAAGCGCAAAGCTGCACAATGAGCTACCTGCGTGGTGTCAGTCACAGGGGTCGAACCATGAACTTGTTTGCGTCATAAGACCTCAAATTTACCGCTGAACCATACGTTATAAAAGGTCACGTAATGAGCGTTGAATTTATGGATAGATTCATTGGATTTAACACTGTTTTTGTTGTTGTTGTTTTTTCTAGAGGAGATGGAGGATTAACCTGGGTTACAGTTATTTAGCTTTTTGTGCCATTAATAGTTTTTGGAATACGAGTTTTATTGATTACTCGTCTGTCAGTCCGTCTACATGGCTGGCATGATGGCTGGTCTTCTGGTTTTAGGACACTTGGCTGACAGGTATGTTAGGACACGTGTTCACGTTTGGTATTAGGATACAGATCGATGTCATTTTTGGATTGCATTTAATTTGAATAAAATTAGAATTTCTTAATTGATATATTTTCCTTCTCTAACTGCACGTGAAGATAATCTGACGAACAAAGTGTTTTAGAACAACTCTCGATATGTTTTAAATTAACAATATACCATTTTTATGTGTAGCATGTACATACACACATAAATATTATCATTAAATTATCATCAAAGCAAGCTACCTACATATATCAGAACTAAAATTAATATAACTAATTAATATACCGTTCTAACTAAGTGTATGCAGTGATAAAACAAAAACATATAATGATTAGAATGCAATGACTCATCAGTTGGGTTTCACTTACAGAGTCTACATAGTAGGCGTTAACGTTGAAGTACGTTCTATAAAAAGCAATGTTTGTAAAGAAAATGTAATACACAAATACTAGAAGCTCAACCCAAACACACAAAAGTAATTCGGATTCCATTAAATCGTCCTTGGTTCTCTTGACCAATAAAACATAAGATGCAATGATGTGGAAAATCTCTCTGAAGGTAACATCTTCCAAGCAATAATATATGATATATAAAAGGCCTCCCCCGCGTAATGTAAATCTTCTTGCTTCCCAACTTATTAGAAAATGTTAAACTGGGAGCTCTCTTTTCCTAAATTGTTATAGCCTTTAAACGATATTTATTTTCTGTGGGTCAGAGTGAGCAAGTATAAAACACAATGTAAAGAGAACGATATCAGCCATTCTCTCCAACACACCAAATCCCACTAAAAATATAAAAAAGCATAACGTAAAGCATGTTTACCAAAATTGCAACTGTGATCGAAAAAAAAGATCTGCTTCCTTCCAGAATAAATCCTGATATAGAGTTTTAATTGTTGATAGAACTATATTAACCATACATGACGCTAAATAATATTATTTGCTCTGTTAAATTTTTAAGTGACACTTGTCATACCTTATTAATATGAGTACTGTCACAAAGACCTTTTTATTGCTCTTATTATTTTATTGGTGAATATAAAACTATTTTTTAATAAAAGAATGAAAAGGAATTTTTTTTCTTGCTTAACCATGCATTTACTAATTTACGTTTTACTTAAATCAAAGTTTGACAGGAATGCGACACTAAGAATATGGGGGGGGGACTTTTTGTTGTTGTTTCAAAGTTAGGAGAAGAACATTTCAGTAGTATGATAATTATTGATCATGTTTTTAGTCTTTCTTTTCTGAAAAATCAATATTATTATACCGTAAATAAACTATAATAATTAAGTAAATGGTATTTTATTATCTAATTCGATTAATTTCACTTAACATTTGTATTTATAGCAGAGTTATTATGGCTACTTGCCACCGTCCCTAATTTTGTGTTACTGACCAGAAGGAAGGTAAGCAATCGTTAGAACCCTACTATCCAGCATTCATACTGTCATTCTTATACCGCAACTACAGCCTATAGTTCGGGGGAAATTTTGTGGAATCGTACGTATGCAATCACGGCTGGCCAGCTTTGAAATTCCCTACCATAAGGCTAATCTGCGTCCCAAATTTGACTAAGTATGAATACACTGCCGTCAATCATGTTCGACAGCTTACATATACCAATTTTTTATTCTTCTGTTGGTTAAAATGTCGTTTACAAAGTTAACAGCCACTTTAACTTGGATTATTGAACACTTGATTTATTCAAAGCATTGAATTCCGGAATACTAGAAAGTTTGGTAAATGATTCTCATTCTCAAAGTTATAACTTTAATACAAGAGGAAGAATAGCATTTAAATGTCTTTTCTATGATGTGTTTCTTGAAAGCTTTAAAATAAGTCTTTTCTATCATCATTCGTAATAGCGCAACCAATTATTTCTCACCTCTGAGACTATGGAATGGTAGTATTGGGTGTCATAATTCCATTGTTCACATAAGGCGGTCTTATTTCCGTTTCGCATGCTGTGACAGGTGTCTAGTTGTGTTCCCTCTTCTTCTGTTTGGTTAAAAGTATAGTTGAAAAAGCTGTTAGGGAATACACACCAAAAATCCATCGGAAGAGCAAGGAATGGGATAGCCATAGTGTGCATTGCAATAGGGATCCAGGAAAAACTTGTAATGATACATATTGAAAGGTGCCAGGGCCCAAAACTGCCCATTAGTTTCGACAAGTCTTCCATCTGTGAACAAATTAATATATATTCATTAAATAATGAATTTAATAATTTATTAGCATATTATTTTGTTTAATTGTAGTTTATCAACGGCATAATTTTACAAAAAAATATTCATTAAAAACAAAAACCGTATTGTTCAGCAACAAAATAACACTAATTGACTTATTTTTTTAAAATCAACTTTGGTTATAACTTAATGAAAAATAACGCATATGTCATGGTTTATTTGTTTGTTTTAGCACAAAACTTTAAAATAGACTATCTGTGTTCTGTCCACCACAAAAAACCGAGCTCCAATTTATGGTACAATAATTTTTTTTAAATTTAATTTACATTATTATTTATAGTCCGGTTCAGGATTGTGAAATAAGTCGAACAGAAGTTGATATATTTGTGGATATGATTGCTACTAAAATTAGCCCTCCGATGGCTCAGCAGTAAATCTATATACCCTCAGTTAGCAGAGTATAAATAGCCCATTGAGTAGCTTGGTTCTTTAAAAAAACAACGCCAGAATTACCAAAGTTTATGTAGACTTGTAAGTAGAGCTGCTACCTGTTATGTATTTGCGTAACCATTCATTATGCAGTAATAAAATGTAGCGCCCATTTATTTTAGAGCTGTAAGCCCAATCAATGAATAAGAAGTTATAAAAATATCACACAAAAATAATAATTCAGTACTGAGCTAAGAAAGAAAAATATCGCGGTTTTGGAATGGAGGTGATTTAATGTAACATATAGTTGGAAGGGGTGCAGTTCGGAAGAACCAAGGTTCGAGCTGCGATATAACGCTGAAAACACTCAACAGTTGGGGAGGGGGGTATTATAACTAT